TCCCCCAGATCCAATGCTCCAGTTGAATCCCCAACTCTACAGCAGACTATCTGCAGCAGGGTGCCCCCAACCCCATCTCTAGTAGATCCCACAGCTCTTCTCTTGTAGATCTCCTCCCTCTACTTCCTTTTTTATCCCAGTCCCCCAAATTCAACAGTCATTCCTGGCTAACCCACAGAGCACCCCTGCCTGGAACGTAGGTAGGCAGACTGTAGATCTTCCTTTCTCCTTCTGTTCTTCCACCAGATCCAATCCCCCAGTCTTATCCCCAGCCCTGTAGCAGAACTTCTGGAGTGAATTCTCTCTTCACTCTCCACCCCTGTTACAAAGAGACTAAATAAGCCGATTCTGATGGAACACTCTGCTTTCCTCAATTCTGTTAACCCCCTAGCCTATCTCCATATCTAAGTATCAGCTCCCAATACCCAGAAACACATTTTAGCTGGAACTCTCAGTAGCCACACCTATAACGTCCACAGAAAATTTCCTACCAGACAACATAGCCACCACACTCTCCTAAAACCCAGAGAGGAAACATAGGGTTAAAGGGGCCATCAAAAAAAATACCCTGGATCTAAAACCAGAGCCAAGGAAACACAACCTGCCTCTAACCAACTCGGGACTTGAAATCTAACCAATCTCTGAGCACAAAAGCCAGCCAATGCCTAAGCATGAAATCCAACCAATCCCTGAGCTTATCCTTGAGATTCTACCAATCAATACCCTGAAAATTTTCACCCTGAAACGCTCTAACCCTAAGAAACCCTATATAAGCCCTGTACCTGTTCAGTTTGGGGCTGCCATTTTCCACCCTGGCAGAGGCAGACACTCTCCTGGATTCCCCCTCCCAATAAATCTCTTGAGTGAGGTTAGTCTGCTGGAAGAGAGCAGAGCTGTAACAATTTGGCTGAAGAAATTTTCCCTTGCTGGAGCAGAATTGTTACACTCCAGGGAAGCTAAGCCAATCTGTAACACTTCTCCGGGGTAGAGCTGTTGCAAACCTTTCCTGGAGCAAGAACTGTAACACTTTCTTGGGGAAACTGTTCCTGTAGGGAACTGTAACACTTCTGTTGGGGTACCTTTCCCTTCAGAACTTTAGGCATTTTTTGGCTTCCAGAATATCTTTCCCTTCACTTACAGAAACAGAAACCAAGAAACAAAACAACCACCCAACAAAAACAAAACCAGATACCAGCACCTAGAACTATCTAATCTTCCTAATCCCAGATGTATGGACACTGGTATAAAAACACAATCAATAACAAGGCAATATGTCTGCATGAGAGCCCAGCAACCCAATACAGCAATCCCTGAATATTCAAATATAGCTGAAACATGAGATCTTAAAACATCTATTATGAAGATTATAGAGGTCCTTAAAGAGGAAACTAATAAATCCCTTAAAGAAATGGAGGAAAACACAAACGAACAGTGGAAGGAACTGAATGAAACTGTTTAAGACCTGGAAATATAAATAGGATCTATAAAGAAAACCCAAACTGAGGAAATGCTGGTAATAAAAAACTTAGGTATTTAAACGGAAACTACAGAAACAAGCTTCACCAGTAGAATGCAAGATAGAAAAGAGGATCTGGGGCATTGAAGATATGAAAGAAGAAATGAGTATATTTGTAGAGAAAATATTAAATCAAAAAAACTCACGACACAAAACATCCAGAAAATCTGGGAGGTTATAGAAAAACCACATCTAAGAATAATAGGAAGAATAAGAATAATAGGAAGGAGAAGAAACACAGGTCAAAGGGCCAGAAAGTATTTTCAACAAAATCATAGATGAAAATTTTCCTAACCTAGAGAAGGATTGCCTGTACATGTACAAGAAGCATACAGAGCACCAAATAAATTGGACCAGAAAAGAAAGTCCCCTTGGAGCTGAAAAAAAAAAAGGTGGCTCAGAAGTTAAGAGTAGTGACTGTTTTTCCAGGGGTCCTGAGTTCGATTCCCAGGAACAAAAAGTGCATGGTGACTCACAACCGTCTATAATAGGATCTGAAGCCCCCTTCTGGCATATAAGTACATGCAGACAGAGCACTCATACATAAATAGTTTTCTAAAAAAGAAAGAAAATTCCCTCTGAACTGTAAGCCAGCGCCAATTAAATCCTTTCCTTTGTAAGAGTTGCTGTGGTCATGGTGTCTCTTCACAGTGATAGAAACTCTAAGACACTTACAACCTATACTTCAGTGTTCTTAGGCTCTAAGGCGGTGAACAAAGGAGGTTCCCACATCAGATCATACACTGACTTTGGGCTCAAAGCTACCAGTCTCTTAGAGCTATTTTCAGTTGATGAGGTCAGTTTCTGACCACCCAAAATGGGCTGTCTCTCGCTATGCAGTCCCCTGAGCTAGTCCTGTAGCTGCTTGCATCCTTCCTCTTCCATGCCTGGTCCTCCTTGCTTTGCACACCTGCCTGCAGGTGCCTTTTCGCCACAGGAGCTGGCTCAGACCTGAGTCTCAGACCTGTGGGTTCTCCCTCATCAGGCCCCTAGGGTGGTTCAGATTTTACCAGCAGATTCTCAGGATGCTGCCTGGGTGCTGGCCTCTAAGCAATATAGTTTGACATCCTAGGCTTCCCCTCCACTGCCGTCTCACCTTCTCACTAAAACCTGCAACTGCGCTTGAAGCCTGTGAGGACTGTGGTTTGTCTCAAGGAGAGGATCATTTACCTTTTTAAAACTGCTTCCATTTCCCCTTCCCTGGCCATGGAACTCATGGCTGAGGTTGTATTCTGGTTGCTTCTCCATCTTCTCTTTGTTCTTTTTTTTTTTTTGGTGGGGGGGGGTACTTTTTCAGGAATCCTTTTGCTTCCTTCTTGGATAAGACTCTTCCTTTATTTCTCTCTTTGAGATAAAGTCTGTTATTTCAAATCATGAGTCCTTCCCGCCTCACCCAGAGTCAGTATGTAATCAGCTATCTTACCCAAAAGTCCAGCTGAATTCAGCATTGGGATATTATTCTAATGTCTTCTTACTCCCATTACTGTCAGTCTTTGGTTCCCTTGGAGGAAATGCATCTTTATTACTTGTTAGTTTTACTCTTTGACTTTTGTGTTTGATTTTATGAAATCTTATGTTGATGAAGTTACAAGGGCATTTCTTTGATATAATCCAATATCCTCGTACCTGTGCCCATGGCTCTCCTGAAATGGCTTCTTTTCAACTTTCTTTCTCTCCTCCTCCTGTTTGGTGCCAACAGAGTCCATTTGCATAGTTTTCAGGGATTGGAGAAAAATGGCTTCAGAGCTCTGGAAATGGTCCCTCCCTGCCCCCAGACATGCCTGGACCCACACACACACACCTCTTTCTTTTTGTATTGGTTTGATTGTGTTACTGAGCATGGATGTGTGCTGTAAACACAGAAGGCAAAGTCCTGGAGTCCTGGAACTCACCATGTAGACCAGGCTGAGCTCAAACTCATAGAGATCCACCTGCCTCCACCTCATGAGTGCTGGAATTAAAAGCATGTACCACCACTCCCAGTGGTATAGCAACTTTAATATTCTTTTCTTTCAGATCTTGAGTCTATAGGTTGGAGTAAAGCCTAAGTTTCTGTATTTATGGAAGATGCCAGATGAGGCCAAAACATCATCCACAGCCTCTGCTTTAGAATCAACTGTGTGCATAATTAAGAATGCTGACATTTTGAATACCATTTGATTATTTTGAATACATATCATTTGATTATTTTGAATACCTATCATTTGAATACAAGTATTTTTCTTTTGAACACTGAGCTACTGTCTTAATTGAGGTTACCCTTATAGCAGGGAACCTGGTTAGGAGATGGCTCCAGGAAATGCAGCGCATACTAGTTACCTTTACAGGTAACTATGTCTGGGAGCAACTAGGGGCCCTCAGGGGACAGGGAGGCTGGGACCTTATTCACTAATCCCTTAACTCATTGATATAGCATTTGTCCCTGAGAGATGGAAGCCAGTGAGGTATGAAGGTCACACGTTCGGGATCTATTGGAGGAAGACTGTGAACTCAGATATGGGATAAAACATCAGAACCAATGCCTCAGTTTCCTTTTGCAAAGATCTAATGTAGGTACTGTTGTCTCAGACCATCTGACAACTAGGCTTTGAAGGACTCCAAGAGGCCCACACAGGAAAATATGTCGTAATCAGGCCGTGCCTCCCCACCCCTCCCCACTTCCTTCTCTCTTGCTAAATCATTAGGTTCCCTTATTTAGGCAATTTCACATTCCTAAAGCAGGTCATCAAGGTCCATTCTCCTATTTGGCTACTTCCTGAGGCTAACCACCAAAGTCCAGCTATCAGAATTCCCTAGTTAGCTACACTGACCAATATATTCAATCAGAGCCTACCAACTCATCCTAACACAGACACCACCCCCCCCCCTCTCCCCTTTGAAAAGCACGCATGGAGAAACTTTGCTGCTGTTTCTGTCCAACTCAGATTCAGCCATCTTGTCTCTCTGTCTAGCTTAATAAAGGATCTCTTTGTGTTAGGAATCGGTGCTTGGGTGTGTTCTATGCCTAAATGGGGTTCAGAAGGGAGCACCCTGAGGTGTGTAGGTTCCTTCAGGCTTCCTTATCCTATAACAAGATAATGACTCATATCTGCTGAGGGATGGGCAGGCAGTCCAAGCATCGGTGCTCAATGGTGGAGAAGCGGCGCTCCAGAAGCACGTGCTGGCTGGGGGAAAGCAGGGCATTCCCTCCAGTCAGCCTAAGGTGACTTGTGCCAGGTTAAAAGCTACATAGGACTTAGGACTTGGTCTTCTACTGGCTCTTGCCCTGGCTACCGGCTCCTATGGAATGAGCAATATTCTAGCACTTCAGTTTACATCACCTAGGCCTGTCATTCACCCTGGGGAAATCCCATAATGTTTCTTTCCTCAGTCAGTCAGAATCTGTAACTGCGTTTCCTGCTTTCTGCTCTTACGGGCTTAGCATGCCCTCCCATCCCAGGACACCCTGATAGGTCACAACCCTGCCGCCGCTGACATTTATTCCGATAAATGCTCAGTGAACCCTCCAGCACAAGGAACCAGCAATTATCCAGGGTGCCAGGCAGTCCCAGATCCACTGAGGCAGAACTTCCTTCCTTTACGTCGTGTATAAAAAGGCACGGGCCCCAGGAGAGCCTGTCAGAGAAGCTGAGCTCAGCAGCAGCCGTAGTTCCGTGGTGCGCAGCCTCAGTTCCTCCGTAATCAGGTGAGAGATGCATCCTGTGGCTTTCAGTCTGTGACTTCTGATCTCTCACTGTTTGCCTCTGGCCTTGGTGCTCTCTGTCCTGCCGAACCTCAGGCCTGCACGGGAGTTATGGAGTAGCTGCTTGGAATGGACAATAAGCTGAGTCTAAGGATGTAGAGGGGTCTTGGTGAGACTTGGGTTAGCGAGGCTGCCTGGTTGTTAGGCTGGACCCCAGCTCCTCAGACCTGGGGTCAAACTGGGACTAACTCTGTTCCTCCCTTAGGGTCGGTCTGCACGTATCCGATACTGGAGCTAGGATAGCAGCTCATCACCATAATGGATAAGGATGACATCGTAATAAATGATAAAAGACGTAAAGATCTTCATGGAAGGGCAAAAGATTGGGAAGCATGGGTGGGTGAGTGGGTGGGGGTGTTCTGTGTCTTGGTCCTCACATATCCACATTTTTACTTTCTTTACAGAATTACGCAGAAAAACACCTTTGTTAAGACATATTCAGGACCTTAGTAGCCATGTGTGGGTTCTTCACAACAATATCCTCACTGTAGTCCCTAGGAAAGAGCAAACAGTCCCAGGTGAGTAGCCCAGGCCCTTTGTGGCAGCCCCTCTGGCTAATGTTGTGGGTTTGTCCTCAGCTTTTCATTTCAATGCACGTGTGTTAGCTGGCTCGCCTGGAGCAGCACTGCGTGGGCAGTTTAGAATAGAGAGCAGCCATAGGCTTGAACAGCTAGGGGATAAGTCAAGGGAACGAGAGGTGACTCCAGGAAGGTTGAGGTTGAGGTGGAAGATTTTCTTCTGTGACGTTTCAAAGAGTCAAACAACAAAGAAAGATCTATGGGGTTAAACTTTGAGTCTATGAGAAGCTGACTTCTCTAATGGAAAGAGTCCCCCAAATGGGCTGGCTGTGTGAGCCAGGTGGTAAGTGGCGGGCGGGCGGCACAAGGTCGGCGAGGAGATTCCATCCACTGTTTCTGTGTCTCTAGTGTAGAGAGATACTTCGAAAGTATGAACTGAACCCCGGTTTCTGCCCTTGCATCCCTAGTCACTGTCACCTTACTTCCATGCCAATATCTGGAAACTCTTGACATGAACAGAGGGGAGCCCATGTATCTGGGACTGAAAGACCCTGAATGTTGCCTGTTCTGCACACAGGAAGGCCAGCAGCCGGTGCTGCGGCTTAAGGTGAGTTTAGGAAGAGAAGGATCTGCAATCGCTTGACCAGAGTCCATCAAAGTAGCCTGTCTAGCCCATAACACTCCCACTTGACAGAAACCCTGACTTTCAAATTTTTTCAAAGGCAATTCACAGATTATCCTCACAGCGATTTATTGTTCCCTTAAGGGTGCATGCATCATCAGAGAACAAGAGAAAACAAAATTGGAGGGCTCTTTGGAAGTAGCTTTTTCCAAAATAACTTTTTGCTTTATTTTACAAAAGTAAGTTTTGACAAGGAGGAAAGTTTTTAGAGTTACTCATGCATGTGTGTGTATTCATGTGTTCACACGTGTATATGTACATGTGTGTACACATGTGGGTATAGGTCAGAGATTGACAGTGGGTATCTTCCTTCATCTCTCCCCACATCATCATCATCATTACTGTTTTGTTTTTTGTTTTTTTTTGTTTGGTTGGTTGGTTTTTGTTTTTGTTTGTTTGTTTTTTTGAGACAGGGTTTCTCTGGAACTAACTCTTTAGATCAGACTGGTCTTGAACTCACAGATATCCACCTACCTCTGTCTCCCAAGCACTGGGATTAAAGGCATGTGCCACTATCCCCCCCCCCATTATTTTTAAGACAGGTCTCTCACTAAATCTGGAGCTCACCAACTAGGCTAGGCTGGCTGGGAGGGGGGGAGGAGCAGGGGAGATGGGCAGTTGGGATGACGGAAGCAGCTAGACATAGCATCTGCCTCTCATCTCAGCATTGAGGACACACAGAGAGAATTTATCTCAAACCGTTAGAAATACCAAACTACACACAAACAAACACATTTGACAGTCATGTCCTAATGTTTCTACTATACTATTAACATATATTTGGGGAGTGTAATTCTAAATACTCTCTTAAGAAACAGAAGTCTCCAGGCTTTCATGTAGGGAGGGGGTGCTGATGTTCGAGATAAGTGAACAGTTCAGATGGTGATGTTTCTTCCTGGGATGTCCTCCTCCACCAGGAGGGGAGCATACTGGAGCTGTACAGCCAAAGGGAATCTGAAAAACCTTTCCTCTTCTATCACAACAAGAGCGGCACAACGTCAACGTTTGAATCTGCAGCCTTCCCTGGCTGGTTCATCGCTGTCTGCTCCAAAGGAAGCTGCCCACTCTTTCTGACCCAAGAACTGGGGAAAACCCACATCACCGACTTTGAGATGATTGTGGTGGAGTAAGGTTGGTCTTGTATTGGGTGTTGTCTGCCAAGCAGAGAACCCTGCCTTTGCCTCTACCATCCTGGCCCTCAAGGCTCTTCCTCCTTACATGAGTGTTGTTATGTTGGTCAATTCTTTACAGAGAGGCAGGTTTGCTCATGTTAACGCTGGTTAGTTTTCGTCAACCTATAAGCTAGACTCATCTGCGAAGGAAAAAAAAAAATCAGTTGAGAAAATTCCAACATTGCTTTGTCAGCAAGCCTGCAGGGCTTTTCTTGATTGGTAATTGATATAGGAGAGAGCCACACCACTGCGGTTGGTGCCACACCAGGATGGGGGATCTTAGGGTGGATAAGAAAACAAGCTGAGCAAGCCACGTAGAGGAAACAGCATTCCTCTGTGGTCTCTGCTTCAGTTCCAGCCTCCAGGTTCCCGTCCTACGTTCTTGCTATGACTTTGGTCAGTGATGGACGGTTACCTGGTACCAGGAAATATAAAATGAAATAAACCTTTTCCATGCCAACTTGTTTTTGGCAAATGTTTTATCAGCACAACAAAGAAGCAAACTAACAGAATACCCAAGTTTCAGAGATAGGAAGCAGGTTAAAGGGCAATTGGTAGCAAAGTCTGAGCCTGGAATAGGAAGAAAGAATCTGTTTCTGGGCTTTTCACTCATAGGTGATTGATGCCTTCCAATATATTCATGTAATGATCTAAATGTTGGAGTACCATTGTGGGAGAAATGGTAGTGGTAAATTGGGCATCTTTGCATCTTTGCATAGTCGTAGAGTTAAATCATAACACCATCACAAAACTAACCAAGAGAGCTCTAACTACATACTACATGAGATATATGTATCTATATAGCTGCAAATACGAAAACTAAGAAATGTGGATGATGACCATCTGTGTTCACACTTCTGGGTTTTCAGGCACATTGCTCTGTGGCACCCTCTCAAGATCTCTCAGATCCCGACAAGAAGAAGCAACCATCTACACCCCCAACAAAGTGGAAGACTTAAAAGAAAGCTGAGCCCTCCCGTGGCTGCCTTCCCCCTCTCTGTGACAGCTGGATCAGCTGCAGACCATCTTACCACGTGTTCATCCAAAGCATTACTGCTGGTTTTTATAAGGAGTGAACTTGGTGGAATAAAATCGTCTGTCTCACCTGCTTTATTGACTATAATAATTTTGGTAGAATGAAACAGCCATAAATATTTTTGCATTTATAAGGAGTTATATCTTATAAAGCAGGTTCCTATGAAGTTGCTTTCTCTCTCTTGTATGTATATATGTATGTATGTATATATGTATGTGATGTGGGAGTGATTTCTTACTAATAAAGAAACTGCCTACGCCCATTTGATAGGCCAACTCTTAGGTAGGCGGAGTAAACAGAACAGGATGCTGGGAGAGAGAAGCTGAATCAGGGAGTCGCCTTGATTCTCCCACTCCAGACAGACGCAGGTTAAGATCTTTCCTGGTAAGCCATCTCGTGGGCTACACAGATTATTAGAAATGGGTTAGATTAATATGTAAGAGCTAGCGAATAAGAAACTGGAACTAGCATGTATGTATGTGTGTATTGTGTATGTATTTGCATGTATGTGCATGTGAAGACCAGAAGTTGATGTCAGGTATCTTCCCTAATCACTGCCCACCTTTTATATTGAAGCAGGGTCTTTTGTTTGGGTGCAGAGCTTGCCAGTTCAGCTAGTGCAGCTAGTCAACTTGTTCATGGAGAACTCCCTATCTCTACCTTCAGGGGTCCTGATATTACAAATGGGTTAAGCTTTTTAGTCAACTTGATACAAGCAAGAAGAGGAAACTTAAGTTAAGAAAATACCCCCAAAAGATTGGCAAGTCTGTAAAGCATTTTCTTGATTAATGACAATGTTGGGGGAGGGGATCCTACCCACTCTGGGAAGTGTCACCTCTGTGCTGGTGACCCTGTGTTGTAGAAGAAAGCCTTGAGGAGCAAGCCAATAGTAGCATTCTTCCATGGTCTCTGCTCCAGTTTCTGCCTCCAGGTCCTGACCTGTTTGAGTTCTTGCCTTGGCCTCTGTGGTGGTTTGAATGAGAATGCCCCCACAGGTCCAAATATTAGTATGCTTAGTCCCTAGTTGTTGAACTGTTGTGGGAAGGATTAGAAGATGTGGTCTTGTTGGAGTAAATGCCTTCTTGTTGGAGGAAGTGTGTTGCTAGGGGTAGGCTTTGAGATTTCAAATACCAGCACCAGGTCCAGTGTCTCTCTCTCTCTCTACCTGCTGCCTGAGGGTCTGAGAGGATGGAAAGCTCTCAGCTACTGCTCCAGTGCCTGATCTCTCTGTTTCCCACCATGGAAATAATGAGAACCCTCTGAAACTGTGAGCAAGCACCCAATTAAATGATTTTCTTTAGAAATGTCACCTTGGTCGTGATGTCTTTTTACAGGAAGAGAGCAGTAACCAGGACAGCTACCCTTGATAGGTTATGACCAGAATGTGTAAGCCAAATACATCTTCTCCTCTCCAAATTGCTTTTGATTATAATCTTTATAAAAAGCCATGGAAAGCAGGCTAGCACAGTCACCATGCCTGCCTAGCACTTATATGGGTCCTGGGGATTTGAATTCTGGTTCTCAGATCTGAGCAGCAACTACTTTACCCTCTATTCCCTCTCCTCTGTCCCAAGTCTCTTCGTTTTCAGAACCAGCAAGATTTTTAAGGAAAGTGGTCTCTTACAAAACCAAGTTCATCAAGGCCCACATATGGGATAGCTAGGACAAGCAGGGTTCCATTAATAAAAAGATTGTGTTCTATATTTCAGGACACGATGTAGATAAGTAACTGTCTGAAAATCTCCTGCCTGGCCCTGAAATGTGTTTCTGTGTGCATCCTTTGAATTCTTCCTTCGAATTTATCAACCATAAATTGACTTGGCTTTCATGTGTGGTGAGCATATGCATTTTTGAAGGTTTATCCTTTCCCTATATCCTTTTTAAGTTCCTTTAAGAATATTCTTAGAAATTCTTTGGGAATTTCCTACAGTATGTTTTCATCCTGTTTACTCTGTCCCCAAACTCTTCCCAGATCCACACCTCTTTCCCAACCTACTCAACTTCGTGTCCTCATTTTTTTTTTTGTTTGTGTAGTTTTAAACCCATTGAGTTCCATTTTCACTGTCTTAAAGGAGGCAGATGCATTCTGGATTTCCTTCCATTATACACACACACACACACACACGCACACGCACACACACACACACACACACACACTCACACACGAAGCTAAGTTCTTTGCAGTGTGGTGATTGATGAAATCATCTCTTCATCCTGCTGGAAACAACAGTAAGTCAAAGCCTCCCTTTGCCTTCGGGTTCTTCTACCTATCTCCTGTGCTACAAAACTTCAAGAGGTAAACTGTTAGGTTATATTCTAATCTTAAAATTGATGCCCATTCCTTCTGAGGTCACATCCAGGTAGCTTCAGAAGAACTGGGGGTTACTCATCTTCAACCACTGTGACAAGTGAGCACTGCAAGAAACGGAACCCCAACCCCTCTTGCACTTTTCTGCTAGACAGTTCTTTTATAATACGTTTCTTTTTTACCAACATTATGAGAACACTTTATTATCGGAGCATTTTCTTTTTTAATTTATTAATTTCTGTTTTATTTTATTTAAAAAAACTATCTCTTTTAATTGTACATACCAATCCCAGTCCTCACTCCCTTCCCTCCTTTAAACCAGTTTATACTTTTTGGTCTTTTTGAAGTGGTCTGACTTTTTTTTTCCTTGGTACACTTTCTAAACAATAGGAATAACAACAATCTTGGTTTTATAAAACTACAATGAGGATGATAGTACTGCTTGGCTTACCAAGAAAACCAGACCTCAGGAGCCAGGCTGAGACTGGCAGGGAAAGCTTGATGCAGGGTATGACTGGCGGGCTGTCCCCATGCAAAGGGAATTCAGCACGCCAAAGAGGAGTTTGGGCTTTATATGGTGCTTTTAGTCGGGTGGGAGTATAACAGGAGAGCATTAAGGAAAAGGGGGGCTGTCTCAGCAAAGGGGACTGCAATAAGCAAAATTTTTATGGCAGCCGGGGATCTGGAGGCTGTGGTCAAGCTGCTCTGCAGAGACAAGGGGTCATCAGACCTCTGTGATGGGTACTTGTTTCATTTCAGCTACACTAAAGGAGCTGGATCCCACCTGGGTCACCCATATTCGTGTCTTAGGCGACTCCCTCTTGAGTCAAAGATCTGGGCCAGCCCGTAAGAATAATCTCTTAGTCAAGATTTTTCTATGACAGCTTGCCTACCTTGATTGTCTGATGTAACCGGTCTTTCTTGTCAGACCTATTTCTTTTGGAACCACCAGCCCCCAAATAATGACACAAAGACTTATTACTAATTATGTGATGTGGGAGTGTCATATATCGATCTGTTGATTTCATTGGTTAATTAAATAAAGAAACTGCTTGCCCTGATAGGTTAAAACATAGGTGGGAGGAGTAAACAGGAGGAAGAGGAAGTGAGGTAAGACTCCTCAGAGAGACTCGACATAGCTCTGCTCTCAGAGACACAGGCGATGAGGCTCCGACTCAAGATGGACATAGGCTAGAATCTTCCTGGTAAGCGCACCTTGGGGTGCTTACACAGATTATTAGAAATGGGCTAGTCCAGGTGCGAGAGTTAGCCGAGAAGAGGCTGGACATAATGGGCAAGTAGTGTTTAAAAGAATACAATTTGTGTGTTGTTATTTCGGGCATGAGCTATCAGGAGGCCGGGGTGCTGGGGACACAGCCCCGAAGATCCTATTTCAACAATTATGAAATTTTGCCTTTGACTTAGGCTTGTTCCCAACTGGCTCTTGTAACTTAAATTAACCTGTTTCTACTAATCTATGTTCTGACATGTGGCTTTTTCCCTCTCCTCCATCCTGTATGTCCGACTCCCTCTGTGTCTTGCTGGTGTCTCTCTTGTGTGCCTAGATTCATCACAAGTCCCTCTCTTTGCCCAGAAGTCCTGTCTCACCTCTCCTTCCTAGCTATTGGCCATTCAGTTCTTTGTTAAACCAATCACAGTGGCACATCTTCACACAGTGTAAACTCATATCCCACAACAGTCTACTTACTGTATTTAAACCAAGACTTCATGTTTAAAAATATTCACATTTTTGTTACTATTATAAAATGATTATTATTCAGTATAGATGTTGAACAGAGCTTTACTGTCTTTCCCCAACACCTTCCATTTTGGAGGCACCTCTATTTTAGAGCCAAATTCCTAGAACCACAAATAATAACACTTTGTTTAAAGGGGGAGGATGAACTGGTCCAACCAACGTGATTTCTGTGTTACTATTGATATTTAAAATGTTAAAATACAATAAACTTATAGACATTACAATTAACGCCAGAGTTACCTGTTTTTTAAATCACTGATCCTGATAGCCATCTGTCTTAGACATGTGGCTCGATGCCCCATAGTACAGAAACTCACCATACCTTCCAAACATAAAAACTCTAGTTAATGAACTCAAATTCCAGATGTTAAATGCCAAGGAAGGAAAGGTTCCTCGAAGCCCTACAGCCTTTTGTCTACCTAGGAGTAACGGATCTTAGTAACTCTTAGGAGAGATAAACCAAAGATTTTGGGTTGACTCTTTTTATCCAAATTATACCAAAAGCAATCAGTCTTCATTTAAAACAGCATTCGTGATGCTTTTTAAAAATCAGAGAAGTCTGGAGTTCAGGTGAGTGAAAAGGTATGGCTGAATCCTCACATCTGGCAGGGGCAGCATCGTGTTTAAAAGTTCCACAGCTGCTTCATGTCAGCTCCATACTCCATGTACAATGGCAGGAGCACAACTACATCCCGTGGAAATACTGTCATTTCTAGCCAATGGGATTTAAAGAAAGGGCGCTGGGAAGAGTTAGGAATCAGAGGTTGATGAACTTTCTAGACTCTTGAAAAGGGGATTTGAGTGTGTCATCAAACACTAGGTTAGGCACTGGTGACCTGGCCTAGGCTCTATGGGAAACTTGCTGGAAGGAGCTCACAGAGATCCACCTGCCTCTGCCTCCCAAGTGCTGGGATTGAGCGCATGCACCATCACCACCCAGCAATGTATTTTCATACTGAATGAACCAGAATGGCTACCTCTGATTTGAGGAAAAGAGAAATTAGTA